AACTGAGACAGGGACGAGACCTGGCGGGCACTGGGCTGTTCTGCCAAGGAGACCGTGGGCTCCTGTGAGGTGCCCTCCCTGCGTTCTTGGTGGAGGAAGGATGTCTGGAAAGGCAGGAGAGACAAGAGTGGGTGAGGAAGCTGGTGATGGAGGAAGGAGAGGACAGGGTTCAGCCCGTGACTAATTCGGGAGAGGCGGGATGGAGAAGAGCCGGCGGTGGCAGGTTGCCCCTTCAAACCAAACCCACTGCCATGGCGTGGGTCCTGACCCGTCTCCCTGCCACCGAGTGGACTCCAACTCTGGACAGACTAGAAGTACCCCTGTGGGATCTGCGGTGGTAGCTCTCGTGGGTGTGGAAACCCTCACCCTTCTCCCGAGGCGCCGCTGGTGGACTCCCACAGCTGGCTTGGGTGGTCAGCAGTCTATCAGGTAACCCACCGCACCATGGGGCCTCCGCACGTAAACAAAGGGTTAATGAGGGTTTCCAAGGCCGTAGACCTTTAGGGGAGCAAACCGGCTCCTCTTTCCTCTGTAGAAAACCTGGTAGCATCTCAATGCTTACCCAACAGGACGCCCCCATTGGCCCTTTAGGGGAGCCATTTAGATGAATGTGTCCCTGGGTTTGCAACAATTTCGGGAGGTGGCTATGAACCAGACATGACTGTCTTCAAGGAACAGACAGTCCAAGGTGGGGGGGAGGGGGGGAGGTAATGAATGTAAGATATAACGCCAGAGGGTAAGCTAGGAGCAAACCCATTCTTGGAAGAGGTCGGGGTGTGTGGGGGACATGGTGGAGAGCCTCCATGGGGCCTGGAGGTGAGCATCAGTCCTGAGGGGAGGAAGCCACTGGTTGAGGCCCCTTCCAGCCAGTGCAGGTCTAGGAGGACCATGCTCAGACTGCAACAGTCCCCCACAACTGGGCCAGGGGGGCAGACCGGGCAGGGGGCGGAGCGGCCTAGGCTAGGAGCCTGACCTCTTTCCCACGGGCCCAGGCCAAACGGAGAGCCGGGGGCGGCTGCAGGGGGTAGCAGAGCTGCGCCTGGCAGGCCTGGAGCTGACCGACGCCTCCCTGCGGCTCCTGCTGCGCCACGCGCCCCAGCTGAGCGCCCTGGACCTGAGCCACTGCGCCCACGTCGGGGACCCCAGCGTCCACCTCCTCACAGCCCCCACCTCCCCGCTCCGCGAGACCCTCGTGCACCTCAATCTCGCCGGTAAGCATCCCGGCCGGCCGCTAGCTAGCCTGCGGACCCTCGTGGCCAGGGCCCGCACCCACTCACCTGCCTTCTCCAGGTTGCCACCGCCTCACAGACCACTGCCTCCCGCTCTTCCGCCGCTGCCCACGCCTCCGCCGCCTCGACCTGCGCTCCTGCCGCCAACTCTCGCCAGAAGCTTGTGCCCGGCTGGCAGCTGCCGGGCCCCCAGGCCCCTTCCGCTGCCCAGAGGAAAAACTCCTTCTCAAGGACAGCTAGTGGGGCGCCCCCCTCGCCTTCCCCCGGGACTCATCCAAAGCCTCTGGCTTTCATTTCAGCCCTGCCAGGAGGCCAGGTTCCCCACCTCTGGTTCCAAGACTTGGGATTCCTGCCCAGGGACTAGAGCCGGCCTCCACGCCCCCCTGCCCCCCCTGCACTGATATCTCTGGGGGTCTCTCCTACCCATCCCCTCCCCCGTCCACCTACTTCATTGTCCATCCCCTGGGGGGAGTGGGTCAGAGGTACTGGGGGGTGCTGAGCCAAAGGGATGGTGGGAGGGGGGGTTAAGGTGCAAGCTTGAGGGAGGGTGGGGACTGGGGGAAGGGTATCTGCACACAGGATTCTGGGAGCCAGGGATTGGGGGGAGGTGGAGGATGGGCTGGGGGGAGGGGGGGACAGAAAGCAGACCATCACAGGTTCAGGGAACAAAGACCAGATACTTGGAATTGGGGGTGGGTGGGGGGCCAAAAAGGGAAACCCGAGAGAGCGATTGGGGATCCAGGTGTCAGGGGTAGGGAACTTGGGGAGCCAGGGAAAGCCAGGACTGAGGGTGAGGGGGGCAAGAGGGTGTGGGGGTGATAGTACCCCTCGAGGGTCACCCCACGCCTAAACCCCCTCCGCCCCCCCCTGCCCCAGGTTTAGTCCTTTTCTCTCAACCCTGACTCCTTGAATGTCACTGACAATGGCAGCTATTGTGAGGAGGGGGGGCCCAGGGGAGTGGTGGCCAGGGGTGCTGGGTGCTCCAGCCCCCTGCCTGCCTCCCTGCACAATACTTGAACATTCATCTGTACTGAAGTGTTACTTGAACTGGGGGAACCTCGCACCTGGGGGAGCTGGATTGAGGGGGATGGGACCAGCTGGAACCAAGACTGGCCAGGTGGGCACCCCGTGTGGACCGCGCCCCCCTCCCCAGGCGCGCCCTCGCTTTACTGTATCAGCAGCTCCATCCCTCTTGACACGAGGCGGGGCGGGGCCAGCTCCAGGAGGGGGAAGACCGGGGCTCCTCCAGCGTGGCTCTGCTCACACTCTTCGTCGTCATGGAAACTTGTACCTATTTGCCCAGGGAACTGCCACTCCTGGTTGCCATGGAAATAGCAGCCAACGGACGCCTCCCAATGCCAGTGCTAAGGCTGGAAATGGCCCCTCTTAGTTGCCATGGAAACCTAGTAACAGACTGTCGGCCCGTCCCACCTGCCCTGCCTTCCCGTTTGGGGGCTGGGCTCCAGGGGCCTGGGGGAGGGCTCGGGGCCAAGGCCCGCCCCTCGACCCAGGCCTCCCAGCCGAGCCAGGTGGTACCACGTAGGGGAGGGGGAATCAATCCACATACCTCAGGTAACTGGAAGGTGCACGGGTGGGGGGAGGGACTGGGCGGATCAAAGGCCGGAGGGGAGGGGCCCTGGGGAGCGCTCGGAAGGTTAGAGGATGGAGCCGCTGGGGGGTGGGGAAGGGGAGGAGGCAGCCCGCTGGGGGACCCAGCCGGGCTGGGCCCCTGGGCCCCGGGTCTATACAATACGGTTTGCTATAAAACTCAAAAATCTTCCAAGCTGGGGTCGTGAGTTCCTGTGTGTGTCAGCGTCGTCGCCGGGGCCGGGTGCTCACTCGCAAAGCCGTGGGAGCAGGGGGTGTTCTCTGGATGAGCCTGGGGGGGGCCTAGGCTTCCCCGGAACCGAAGCTACGGAGCCCCGAACGGAGGAATAGAAGCGCCCAGGTGGCGTCGACCGGCTGGGCCGTTTAGAGGGGCTTGCATATGTCCCAGTGTCCAGTGCTAGACCCAGATGCTGGCAGGATGCGCGCACCCTGGGGACCTCTGCTGATGGACTGGGTCCCCCGGCTCCACCCCATCATGTGGCCGCCGGCTCCGCCTCCGCCCCAGTTCCTGTTTCGGCCTCCGCTGCCTTGCTTTGGCCCCGAGGGCTCCCGGCCCGTGCCAGTTCCTGCTGCTCCCGGGCGCCGGCCGCATCCCTGCTCGCCTCCCCAGGAGATGGGGCATCCCCCCCATTTGGGCTGGCCCTCCCAGGATCCCCGAGCCGCCTCGGCGCCCCCGTGACCGCCTGGTGCTGTGCCCCCAGGATGAAGGGCGGAGAGGGGGACGCGGGCGAGCAGGCCCCGCTGAACCCCGCTGGCGACAGCCCCGCGGCCTCGCCCACGTATCGAGAGTTCGTGCACCGCGGCTACTTGGACCTCATGGGGGCCAGTCAGCACTCGCTGCGGGCGCTCAGCTGGCGCCGCCTCTACCTCAGCCGGGCCAAGCTCAAGGCCTCCAGCCGCACATCTGCCCTGCTCTCAGGCTTCGCCATGGTGAGGGTGGAACGGGCTGCAGAGGGTGGGAGCCCACAGGGAGACCCGACTGACACCGCCCCCCAAGATAAGACAAAGGGTGCTAAGGGGAACCGAGGAGGCAAGGCCCCAGGCAGTTGCAGGCGCCCCTTGTTAGGACCCGGCACCCAGGAGTATAAACTGGACGGTGGGGAAAGGAAGCCCCAAAGGTAGTGGGGGCAGGGCGGGGACAAACAAGTCACCAAGGGGGCCCAGACTGCCGACCCCATCACCCCGAGCAGAGCCAGCAGGAGGTGTGGTTATCCTGGTCCCCAGGGGGGGGGCGGGTTTCAAAGGGGTACCAGGATCAGGGAGACTGGGTGGGGGCTTGTCATCAGGAGACTTAATTAGCCGGAGGGGCCACCCAGCAGGCACAAAAGGGTGCCCAAGAGAGCTCCAAGAAGCCACCCAGGAGGAGCCTCTGGGAGGAAGCTCACGCCTGATCCCCCGGCCGATAACGCCTGCTGCGTGGGAGGATGCTATCATGTAACGGTTGCAGTCGCGGGGCCTGACGCAAGTTCTGCCCCCTCTCAGCTTCTGGCTAGCGCTGTGACCCTGGACAGGGCTCCACCCCCTCGCAGGCTGCTGGGGAACCAAGTGAGATCATGGTGGGTGGGTCTACCGGCACTTGCCCAGAACCTGCCCTGGGATGCTGTTGTGGTCCCACCGGGATAGGTGGAGAACTTGCCCGAGTGGTGGTGGTGCCCTGCCAGGGGCACACAAGAGAATGCAGGGGATGGGATGACCTGGGGCCCAGGGTTTGAATGAACTAGCCCAAAGTGCCTCAACTTGATAAGGAGAGGCGGAGGGGCGGTGCCTGTACGTTGTTGCTGCGTCAAATGTGGTTTGAGGTTGGAGCCACCTGTTGATTCCAGTTAGTTCCTGCTTTTTGGTGCGACAGTCTCTGGATCTGAAAGGTGACGGTGGGGAAGAAGTCTTCCTTGTCGGTCAGGGATGTCCTCCTCAGTCTGCTGTGATGGGTTTTGTCTTTGGGGGCAGAGCAGATGCCCAGATGCTGCTCTGCGGGAGGTCTTCCACCCACCCACCCCCACCAGTCCCCTGGTCCAGACCAGCCCGTTCCTAAGGGGACAGTCCAACCTGTGGCTGCACTCACAGGTTCCTGGGGCCACACCTTAAGGACCAAGGCTCTCCCTGGAGCATCAGCTGTGTAAGTTGTGGGGCCAATCCTGGCAAGGGAGGGGAGAGGAGAGCTAGACCAGACTGGAAGAACCAGGGCTCAGCCCAGATCCCCGTCTGTGACAAACACCTGCTGACAGCCACCACGGCCCAATGTCCCCAGATCCTCAGCCCTGCCTTTCTGCCCCCGTCCTTCTCCTCCCCACCCTGGAGCAATCGAATGAGGAAAAGGGCCAGCTCCAGGACTCCCCGGGACCTGGGTTAGAATCACAAGTCCACGAACTGCACTGAGCTGTCACTGAAGTCCAGGAACCCTGGTGGCATCGTGGTTACAGGTTAGGCTGCAAGATACAAAGTCAGTTCAAAACCACCGGCGGCTCCCTAGGAGGAAGATGAGGCTTTCTACTCTCATAGACGGTGACCGTCTGGCAAGCCCGCAGGGCAGTTCCACTCTGACCTATAGGGTTACCATCAGTCGTAATCGACTCAGCTGTGAGTTTGGTTTTGACACCGGGATTGGGGTGGAGATGGGCAGCACTTTTCTAAGACCCTGTGAAGTAGGTAATGACACGCAGGGCCAGAGATGTGAAGATGCTTTCTCCAAGTCCTACGGCAACACGTTCGTGGCAGAGCACACTCTGAACTTGGGCAGGCTGGCAGTCGTGGCCAGATTCCTTATAGGCCCAGAGCAGAGTCATCAACTCAAATGTTGGCCACGGCCAGGCAGGTGATACAGACACCAGTGGGCTGGGTGGGGGCTGCGGCCACCTTGAGACCCCGTGACCTCTCCCGAGTGGGAACCCACGACTCCAGCTGACAGGAGCCATCCAGGAATGACCGAGTCGTGTTTGACTAGCTCTTCTGAGTTTTCTAGAAGATCTGAGGATAGAGATGGTGGCCTGAAACCTCTTACGTTTTAAACGTTGGCAAGGGATTCCCTTGTAAACAACAACAACAAAAACACAGCAAGGGCTAATGGGAGAGAGCTGCTCCCTTAAAGAGGGGCAATCTCAGCTATCCAAAGGGCTAGTTCTACCCTGTCCTGTAGGCACCGTGTGAGGCCGAATCAGCTTGGTGGTGAATTAAATAAACAAAGCAAAACGTGGAGGCCGACTGATAGCGACCCTCGAGCACAGGGTGGAAGGGCCCCTGTGAGTTCCCGGGACTGTCACTCTTTACAGGAGGCCAAAGCCTCGGCTCTCTCCTATGAAGCCACTGGTAGTTTCACTGCTGACCAGCCCAGGCCCTAACCACTATGCCACCAGGCCTCCGGCCTCCATGGCAGTGAGGGTTGGGGTTTTGTTTGTTACATGAGACCAGCAAAACTTGGCTGCAAGCTGACCCGGGCTTGCGGTGCAGAAAGTCAGTCTGCAACCTCTGGCCTGGATTCCCTGCTGCCACGTGTTTTTGAGCACGTGATGCGTGTGGTCTCCTGTTCACAACCCACCGAGGAGGCAGGTAGGTGCTGTTTTCCAGAGGACAACAGAGGCACGGGGAGAATGCAGTCAGTCACTCAGCTCAAGTTCACACAAGTGTGTTAGAAGCGAGATTCGAATCCTGGTAGCTCCAGAGCCGATGCTCTTTAACCCCTCGGTTGGCACAAGCTTCAGCCAGCCAGGAGCATGTTGGCCAGTCCTCTCCGTGGCCAGGTGGGAAAAGCCAAGCCCAGAACAGCCAGGGCTTGGCCAGGCTCTCCGGTCATTCGTTCAACAAAGACCAAGTACCTTTTCTTCTCCGTGCCAGGCATGCTTCTGAAAATCGCCGGGTCCCCCACCGGCGAGAGGAAACACGACAGGCACCTCTGGCCGAGGAGCCTGAGTGCTCACGCCTCTCCTCCTGTCCCTGCAGGTGGCCATGGTGGAGGTGCAGCTGGAGAACAAGTACGAATACCCGCCGGGCCTGCTGGTGGCCTTCAGCATCTGCACCACCGTCCTGGTGGCTGTGCACCTCTTCGCCCTCATGGTCTCCACGTGCCTTCTGCCCCACATCGAAGCCGTTAGCAACATCCACAACCTCAACTCCGTCCACCAGTCGCCACACCAGCGCTTCCACCGCTACGTGGAGCTGGCCTGGGGCTTCTCCACCGCCTTGGGCACCTTCCTCTTTCTCGCTGAAGTTGTCCTGGTTGGCTGGGTCAAGTTTGTACCCATTGGGGCCCCTTCAGGAACAACGGCCCCTGTGGTAGCTGCCTCCCAGAGGCCCGCGTCTCTGCCGCCAGTGGCCGCCTCTCTTAGCCCGGCTTCCAAGCTCCCACCGACCCCTTTGCCTGCAGCCCCTTCCGAGGCCTGCCCGCCCCGGCAACTGTGTGGTGGAGGCGGGACCCACGGGCCAGGCTGGCAAGCGGCCATGGCCTCCACAGCGATCATGGTACCTGTGGGGCTCGTGTTTGTAGCCTTTGCCCTGCATTTCTATCGCTCCTTGGTGGCCCACAAGACAGACAGGCACAAGCAAGAGTTAGAGGAGCTGAATCGCCTGCAGGGGGAGCTGCAAGCCGTGTAAGGCTTGGCCTTCACCTCTGCCCCAGGCATTGCCTCCTTAGGGGATCTGCTCAGGGCCAGAGGGCCTGCAGATCGCCTGCCCTGTCCTGCCCCTGGCTAGAACCACTTGCCTGTGGCCACTCTCAGGGGGAGACCGGATTCCTGCCAGGTTTGGGGTCCTCCCAGCTGGGCCTTGGGCAGCTCCCGCATTCCCAGGGATTCTCCCTGTCTGTCCTGTGGGTTTTAGAAGCTCCAGTTGGCCTGGGCTGGGAGGAAGTGGAAGGTTCCTCAGCCCAAGGCTCATGTGCTAGGTAGAGGAGGACCCTGGTCAGACCATGGTACTGACCCTCAGCCACTAGTGAAGTCAGAGGTTACATCCCTGCCCTGCTGCCTTTAACTGTATTTCCGTAGAAGTTTACTTTAGGCTTGCTAGTTTGGGGAGGGGAGCTTTTCCCATGCCTGAATTGGATGGGTTCCCCACTCGCAACTTTAGTTGCTGTAGAGAGATTCGGGTGCTTCTAGCCCAGTGACATAGTGGATTCACCACAAGGTCAGCAGTTTGAACCCACCAACCACTCCATATGAGAGAAGCATGAGGCTGTATGCTCCTGTAAAGATTTACTACCATGGAAACCCGTGGGCACGGTTCTACTCCACCCTACAGGACTGCTAAGTGAGAATTGACTCAAGGGGTGCTAGTTTGGTTTGGGCACTTGTATAGGGCCCTCTTTTCCCAGGACCGGCCTCCTCTCAGCTTTTGACATAGAGGCAAGGCCTTCCCCACTATGCAAGGCCAACACATAGGCTTCCGTGTCTGGTTTTTCGCTCTCCTGGGCCAGGGCTATGAGTCTTTGGGGGGATTAAGGGGCTGCCGTGCACCCAGCCTGTCTCCCTAGCAAAGGTGGGAGGAGGTTTTAAGTAAGATTAGAAGATCCTGCCCTAAGCCGGGGAAGGCAGTTATTCTGACACCAAGTTCTTGATGCGTCTTGTTTTGTATAATAAATGGTGTTTCACAGATGTCCCTGTAGCTGTGATTGGGGTGAAGGGAAGGCTCCCGGGAATCAGGTGACTCGTTTCAGAGAGCCAAGCGGAGGCTCCGATACCGGGGTGCAGGGGGAACGGGTTCCAACGCTGGCCCCACCTGGCCAGGAACTAGCTGCTTTTGAAGGTGGGGACGGACGTGATAGCCTGGCTCACGGCCTTGGAGCTCTTTATCCTGTGAATCCAGAGTCTCTCATTTTCTTGGAGGTTTAGAATAAGTTTCTTGAGGGATGACCCCGCCTATTAGGAGTTCTTCAAAGACTAGCTCCTTTAATCCCCATAACCAACCTATAGTATTTCCATTTCTGAGTTTACAGAATGTGAGGCTCTAAAAGGCTGTTTGTTTGTTGTTGTTTTTTTCAATTGACCTTTTTACTGTGAATGAGCTAGGGGGCTTACATTTCACATCATCACTTTTGTATTCAACTTAAAACTATTCTTCAAACTTCCCTTTTAGCTAGGAGGAGGATCTTGCCCGCGACCACAAAGCTAGTCAGTGGAACTGAACTTACATGGGCTTTAACTGCCCATCAGCCGTGGGAATCTCTTGACAAAAGCAGCCCATTTCCACTGGGATGAAGGCCAGGAATCTGATCTCATCACCTAAGGCTTCCTTTTTCTTTTTACCTGCTTAATTTTCCTAAAAGTTTTAAGGATTCCAGCCCTCTGTCATTTTCAGCTCTTGTGCTGGGAGCCCCGCGACAAGTCTTCACCTCTTTCTTTACTTTTCTCTTAACTTAAAATAGTGAGTTTGTATGAAACCGGCTCCTGTGGGCTTTCCCTGCACAGTGGAGAGATTTACAAGACGCCTTCGGGACAGCAATTAACACCTATCTTTAAGGAAGATCCGAAAGCTTTGGGGAAATAGCTTGTCCAAGGCCATAGAGCCAGGGGGCAAGGCAGAGATAATGGCAGAGATAAAACGAGGCACACAGCACAGCCTCATTTTGGGCCTCCAAGGTGGACTGGCCATTCCCTAGCAAGACTTAGGGTGCCAGGGCGGAAAAAGGATGCCCGGTCCCTGAAAGACTCTAGCGCCAGGCTCCCGGTGTACACCTGGGCTGCTGCTGCGCTGGAACAGGTGACCGCGTGATGGACGCAGGCCATCCCTAAAACCAGCAGGCACTGAGCCTTCGATACCCGGAGGCTTGAGGAGCCTAGCCCAGTTCCAATCGGGCCGGCTTTATTATTTTTCATAGAACGCGTTTCAGGACGTTCAGACACCCCCCCTCCCCCGCGGCTCCAGGCTTTTCTGGGAATCTCGAGACAGCCTCGGATTTGACCACGACTAGTGGGTTAAGCATGGGCCAAACGGGACCCTTCTGCAGGCCTCAGTCTACCGGTCTGTCGGATGGAGACCTTGGAGTCTAGAGACCGGAGGGGGGTAACGGTTGAAAAAACGATCCCTGCATTCTGCGCGGCGTCGGACAAACGGCCTGAGTCACCGCGGCTGTCTGTATTTTTCCACTTCCCGGGCGCCCCTCCCAGCCGGCCCCGGTTTCGGTGGGTCCAACAGGAAGTGCCCCCGCTGGGTCGGGAGCTGCTCGCGCTGGCCCCGCCCCTTTGCGCGTACGCCGAGGCCCCGCCCACAGCAGGAGCTGCAGATTCGCCAGGCCCGCTTCGCGCAACTACTCGGGGTCCCCTTTTACTTGGCTACAAATTCTCATCGGACCCCGAGAGGAGCTTCGAGCCGTCGTCATGTTTGCCTGCACCGGAACCGGGCTGCTGTCTGAACTGTACTCGTAAGAAAGATCCAGAGAGTGGCAGACGCTGCCCATGGGGCTTGGCTAACCGGGCGTTATTTTGTTGGCTCCACCGAGGCGGGTGAAGGGAGGAGACGGCTGAGACCTGGATCCCTGGCGAATCTACGGGCTCTTGGACTTTTGGCCGCGCGAAGAAAGGGCAGGAGAGGGAGCAGAGGAGCGCGCATGTTAGCCACCGATTCGCCCCTCCCGCCTGACGAATCCGCGTCTGTTCAACGCGCCACTCAAACCTCATCGCTGGCTGGCCGCCTCCTCTCGGTCCCGCCCCCTTTTTCTCAGGAACTAGTTGCAGCTTTTGCTGCCGCCGATTCGCCAAGGCCCTGAGGCCGAAGCAGCAGGACACGCTAGTGGAGCCTACTCTCCGGGGGATGCGGCCAATCTCCAGGCTCCCTTGGCTGCAACTCCTGAGCCTCAGAGGGTGCCGGCCGAGGCGAGGCCGCTACCCTCGGCCCCGTGGACCTCCCGGCGGCGCTCGTGGCGAAAGTGCGAATGCAGACGCTGTGCCCGCTGGGCCTCGCGCAGGTGGCTGTGGTGTTTGGTGCGCG